GTGTGTTTAAGTGTTTGGTTGGTATGACCTATGTATGAATGTGAACCATGTGGCCTACTGATGTGAGCTGTTACGGCCATCGGTACGGTTGTCCCCGTCGAGTTACGGTACGGTTCCCCTTGCGAGGCAAGTCTCTTTAAGACCTAATGAAAGGCCGTGTCCGTTACAGTGGCACGCACTCCCGTCGTTAGGGTTTATGCATCCCCTTTCCGCGGCTAATGATAGATGTGCACATGAGTGAGTTATTGTTGAGATTAGGAGATGAGACATGATGATGATTGATTTATATTCATACTGCGACCATACCATCTGAACATGTATTATTTATGTGCATAGTGGTGAGCACACCTTTCATCTAGTGCTCATACCCACCTGCTCTTTACCGATGCAGGTTAAGCAGGAGCTGGGTGACGAGAAGAGACGAGTGGGTCGGTCAATTTTTATTTATCGCTTCCGTACGAATAAGGCTTTATGAACCCTTTTGTTGAGACTTGATTATGTTATTTCCCAGAACTTATGACTTGCTTGTTTTGGAAATTTGTGGAACCCGGATTGTTGGGTATTATGGTTTGATTATATATCCATGTTGAGTATTATGTCTCGTGAAGGGTTTCTGTTAATGAAAACCGTTTGTGAAAACCGCGTAATGAATCCCCGTGAGCCCAGATAAGACTTGGGTTATGAAAAATATTGTTTAACACCCAATAAATTTTCAAAAATGATTTTGAAAATTTTATACTGATATTTTTGAAAGTCTATAATTTCTTTAAAATCAAAGTGGGACGTTACAGCGAGATAAATCGAAAGAGAAAATCCTACAAAACAATATTCACAAACGGGTTTTTGGTGTCTGGGAGCCTTCAAATCAGTCTGGGGTTGTTCTTAATGTGTTCAAGGATTACCTTGAGGCCTGACATGAGTCCCCCTTTAAACGGATTCAAAGTGGGGTCGAATACCGTCTTGGTGCGTCCGAGTATGTTGTAGAAATTACTCCCTTCGCGACCACAGATCTTGCAAGGCAGAAAATCTCTGCGGCCGGAGAAGGCTCCACGAGTTGCAGTGACCAAGACTTCCGTGGGGTGCAATATCCTCTACGGTAGCGGACTTTCCATGGCAGAAGCCCTACGCGGTTCGCAGAGAACAACAATTTGCCCGACAGTGGCCAGTTGCGCACCCATGCGCCGTGGGATCGTACGAGCTCATCCGAGTTCGTAATCGAGTTTTGTTTTTTTCTTCTCGTCCTCAAAAAACCTTTCTATAGTCATAGCATGCAAAATTTTTCGGTTAAGTGGATTTTGTTTCTGTTTCGGTGATGGGTCAAAACATAAATATTCAAGCAACATTTTTCTACAAAATAAAGTATAAAAGTAGACGAAAAATACAAAAAAATTAAAATAAAAAAATATGCGAATAACAGAAGTGCAAAATGGAGCAAAATCAACCTAATGGACCAAAAAAAATATAAGAGAACTCATATAAACTAAAAAGAAGACTATAAAAACACACAAAAATACCAACAAAAATATGCACAAAACCACGAGTGAGCCGGATGTAGCCTTCATAACTCAATGTCGCAAAGTCACTACTAATACTTTGGATTCCAAGATTTATACTGAGCTAATATTTTCCTTCAAGCTCGGCGTGTACCGAACATGTGTCAAAACTATGGCGGATCCATCGTGATACTTCAAAGGAATTGAATCTATCTCGTTGTCTTACAAGCATTGCATTACCCATATGACAACCCTAACATTGATCTTCTAAGATTAAAGAACCACTCTCTTAAGGGAGACAAATCATATGTGCATTAAAAATCCAAATCCATTCATCTGAGATTAAATATTTTATCTTCCGCTGCTCCATTCTTCATCTCTTGTTTATTCTTCTTCCTCAACTTATAGCTATACAGAATTGACCACTGCAAGAGTTACATTATCCTTCCATGGAGCATGGTAGTCTTCAAGCTCAAACTAATCCGGAACAGATGATACAACATCAAAACCAGATCTTCATCGTTGAATGTGATGTTCAAATTCAAATCTGCAACCAATTGATTGAATGATGTGGTCATTCATCGATGTGTAATGTTGATAATCAAATGACAAATTGAAAGAATCGCTTCTTTATAAGGAGTTTATTTTTTCCGCTCTTTTTAATATAATTGTCCTCTAGATCCTTCCACGTGGGCATAGTTCTCATTCTTGAATGCATACTTCTGCTCTATAGACAAATACGTAATAAACGTTTCACATGCTAAGCAATTGTATTCTTTTAGTTATTCTCGTCAACGTCGTCTGGCTTTCCTTGTTCAATAGCAATGTCGACGTCTTTCTAAACGAGACAATCCATCACTTTTCCTTGCCACATGTAGAAATGACCGGTCCCATCGAAGATCTCCACCGGGAATCTGACGTTCGACATCACTATCCTTGACGTAATGAATGCAGAGGATGATGTGCTCTTGATCTCCTTGGCCATCTCGAACTTGAGTGCAATATTCTCGCTGCCAAACTAGCATAGGATGAACCTTCGGCTCTGTTACTATTTGTAGGGTATCAAAACAAGTGCAACGGGCAAAAATACCCCCACAACAAATAATGACAAGCACTACTACTAACAAAATAGATTGACACAAATAAATAAAATACGAGAACGAAAACGGACATGCAAAATTGATAACAGAGTTCGGTAAATATTGGCTATGTCTCTGAGCACCGTCAATCGCAACGCTAAATTCACTAAACTCACCAACAAAATACAACCATGGTTAAATAACTCACAAATTAGAAGTCGTTTGACTAAGGAATTCATTTTTAGATATTAGATAAAAGAACAAGGTTCAATTATAACGTAAAGGCACAAAACAGATTTATATTAAAAGATCCTACACATCGTTGGTATACATTCGATGTGCGACAAACATTATCAAATTTAACAGTGTCCGTTAAATAGTAAAAGTTCCTACAAATCATTGGTATACATCCGATTTGGGACAAATATCACTAAAAATGTAATAGTGTCCCTAAATAGTTTTGATCGAATCCTAATAGAATAAGAAAAATGCTACAAGTACATAATAAATGTACATAGAAATGTACATAACACTCAAATGGAGTGGGGTCCTTTTGATTTTTTATTTTTGGTGGGTCCCACTCAATGTGAGTGCTATGTACACTCTTAGAGCACCCACAATGCTTTGGTCCCTTAGAAAAAAATCACATACCATGTAGGAAATAGACATATTCTATAAAAAAAAATGTTTCACAATGCAATTAAAAATGGACCTAGTCTAACTTATGTGGCACTAGAAAAAGAGACTAAGTCCACACTTGGGTCTATTTTGGACCCAAGTGCAAACCCACCTATTCATTAATTGTTCACAATTTTTTTTTTTCTTTTTAATAGGCAAAACACATTTTTTTTTGTATGCATTTATTATTACTATAGTTTTATTGGTTGTTTAGTATTCTAGACCTAGTACTTTTTTGTTTTGCATTGGATAGATTTTAGATTTTTTTAGCTTGGGTTTGTCCATGTCATTATGGACTTAAGTCTATTTATTTGCCACATATGCAAAAAGAGACCCAAAGCATTGTGAATGCTCTTATGTACAACATTATATACTTCTAGTATTACTCATAGAATAAATTGAAAGACCGATAAAAAAAACAAAAAAAAAGGAAAAGAATTTCAAAACCCAATCAACTCTCTCCGAGACTCTGCACGGGTCGTTGACATGTCACATGTGCCACACAACTCATGTGAAAATACTGAGAGGTCAGCTTGGCTCTCCTGGCAGCCACACAACTCGTTTCAATCTACACATGGCTCAAGTTGGTCATCGAAGGATTCAAATGCCATTTTGGGACTGTACTCGGCTCTTGGCTTGTTCCCAGGTTGCTTCCGACCAACATGAAGATGCTTAGTTTAAATGTAAGCACAGATGCACTAATAGAGATGATATTTGGTGCTGCATAGGAACAAGTAACTCCGTTTTGGTGAATTGAACACTAGCAAACTAAGCATATATGGGCTTTCCAACCTCTTATCATCTTTAAAACTACAAAGCTGTTTATGATGTTGTATAATCCTTAGAACTACAAAGCTCTTTATGATGTTGCAGCACATTAAGTGTCGTTACAAAGAAGATAAACTACCAAAAATAAAATCATAATCTCGAGCGACGAATGCATTTTATTATAGGATTAAAATGTGAATTCCGTCTTCCAGAAGCAAACAGGCCTCGTCTTAAGGTCATAGGCGAGGCTCTTATATCCCAATCCTCGACATTCTTAGGGATGCAAACATCAAAGAGGAAATGGCCAAGAATTCCATGCATGTTGATTTGGGCCGGGCCTGTAAGAGGCACGTAGCGTTGCTCAACATGTTCATCATGCACAGACCCTACTCGGTCCTCGTGGTACTCCAACGAAAAGGGCACGAAAAAACGGCCTTCCGAGTTCACCTCACTTCTCGGGAAGCCCTGACTCGATTCTGCAGTTGCTTTTGTCAGGCTGCCAAATGGGTTGGGAATTTGGTCGTGCAGGCCCTCGTGGCCCACCTTCTCGCCTTCAAGCTGTCGTATTTTGTGTGAGTAAATATCAGCGGCTTTGCCGAGCAGCTCAGACACAGCAGCT